AATTGCTATGCTAAATTTCATCGCAAAAGCTTAAAGAGTTCTTGAGATATGTGTGGAAACGAAAGCGTTACAGACAGACAGAAAGACCACGAACGACGGACAAACCCAAATTAATACCCCCCACTTTTCAAGCGGGGACAAAAATAAAAGCTTCATTAAAGCTGCTGTAAAGCGTGTTAAAAATCCCAAAGAAATGGTCACTGAAATATGTGACATTTACATCAACCATTGCCTGTTTTATAGACAAATAAGCAAGTGGATTTCAATAATAAAGAATTATATAATGGGCATCAAAAATGGGTACCATCCTTGGCAACAAAAAATATAACTACTTATGTACTATTTGCCCAATTTCAACAAATAATATCTAATGATGTATGACTGACTTTGAGACACATAGCAAATTTGATAGACATCATATGGAGAAGTTTACAATGTTTCTAAGAAACGTTTGACGGTTAAAGAGCTTGGTACTCAAAGATCACCCTTTATTTTGAAAAAATGAGTGAAAACAAGATATAGGAATGTCTTAACAATTATTTTAAAATATCAGTAACTTTAGTAATCCAAGTTTGTTTCATATTCAAACAGATAATGGAACATGAATCTATTGCTTAAAACACTGAATAAAAAATTACCATAAGATGAACTTGATAAAAACAGCAATGGTCCGACAAGAGCAAAGGTAAGCAAGAGAACAAAGACAGGTTTATATGCAATTTTCTTAAATATTAGTGGTACTGTTGTTCAATTTTGTATTCGGGGAGACAAGTTTAATTTCTGGGGAGTCTAGAAAGCGATTTTTTTGCAAAAAAATCGAAAGGTTTATTAGAGGAAGGACCTAGAATCAGGGATCCACTACATTAAATTTCTTCATGAGGAGCGTCCAAACCCGTGCCCCTGAAGAGTAAAGGGGTTTTCGGGATAAAAAGAAAGTTAATATTTTTTCACATTAGCAATATTCGCCAAATCTTTGCCCTTTTGACGTGTTTCTATTTCCAAACTTGAAAAACCACCTTTCAGAAAGAAGAAACAAGTCCAGGAAATCATTGGATCTGCCATTTTCCAGTATACTAAGGGTCATATCCAAAAATGAGTTCTAAATGCAATCAAAAATTAAATAAAAAATAATTTTACGGCATCTTTTTAATAAAAAAGGATTAATAAGTAAAATCATGAAGACTAAATCATTGCAAAAGGGTATTTTGCTTCTTTCAGAGCCCCCATGACATTATTTTGAACGTCCCTCGTATAAAAGTGAGTTGACATATAATTCGCACAAAAATGATTCCCCAGTTTACCATGCCTACGTGTCATTTAAGAGTGTGCTATTTTTTTTATGCATCTTTAACGGAAATTTGATTCACAGTTATGTTGTCCTTTAAAATGCATAAAAATAAACATTTTATTATGAGTTAGATTTTAATTAAATATGGATAGTGTGTTTGAATATGAAGTCAGCTTGTGATAAGATTTTAATCAGGTATCATAATAAAGCATTTTGGTGATGTCACGTGACTTTGGCGATCACATGACCGACACTTATGAATTCTTAAATGCTCACAAAAAAACTGATCAGAGCAAGTACAAAGCAAAGTAATTATGAAAGGTTGTTACGTAAGTCATGCTGCTCGTGGTCTCTGTTACAGGTAAAGTGCTGGGTTCAAGTCTGAATTTCACTTCTTATCAATATTTTTTCAGAAGAAATTTAACTTATCCATGAGAGAAAGGGGAATTTTCCACTCTTTCTGCAATATATACAAAATAAGATAAACTACATACAATCTCTCATCAAAATAAGATAGAGAAAGAACTGTTCTTGTATATTCATAGGTGCAAAGAGTATCTTCAACACATTCTTATTAAACAAGTTTGCTAGTCAAATATATATTTGTACACGATTCATAACGGTTAAGGACGCCCATATGTACGGAAGCCCGTTGAGGCTAGTTCGAAAGACCTTTTAAGCGGTTAGCTAGCTAACCGCTTTATGGCATGGGCTCCAAAAAACCGGAAACTTCCATAAGGCGCTACCTATCGACATCGCTTTATCGCACGTAACCTTATCCTTCTGCAACCAAAACCGGAAACTTCCACAAGGCGCTACCTATCGACAACGGTAACTTCAGCAAAGCGCTTCCTATGATTTGTATACCGTTGGCGTGATCCCCCCCTGGTGAAAGACTGACAATATGCTGTTACGAAGAGTGGCTATTACAACGATTATATCGAATTCTTATTAGTATTTACCAAAGCATTGACAATACTTAGAACACTAACTTCAAAGAACTGAGAATTTCGTCCTTATTACATGTACATAGTGCGATCGCGATTTATAGCAATTGTTAGTTTATTTTTGAAAGTTGAACGATACGGTTAATTATACAGCAGGTTGAAGGTTATTACGACTCAAAAACATCAGCAAATCTCTCATGAGTTTGATTTTCCTTGCCAAAGTATTAAGAAACACCATTTATTAAGTCAAGTCATACCTGAAAAACGTTTTTATAAAAACACCGAATACATCTGCAAGTTTTACACTTTTTGTAACGTTTTTATGGAAACAATAGGATTGCCTCCACAATGAAACGTTTTTTTTCTTCTCTGTCTAATAAACAGTTTTAAAAGCTCAGCTCCCAGGGGTAAATTCTCTGCTCCGTCTTTGATAATTTATTACAAGTACAAACGATCATAAGGGATCGCTTACTTTTAGTTTTGAAAAAATAATGGGGCACTTAAAGTAGTAAAATTAATTTTGAAAAAAAGAATGGATAAATATATATTAATTTTAATCGGCATTTTGACCCTCTTCTAAAAATCAACCGATATTATTATTCACAGAAGAATGAGGTATGAAAAATCTTGGCAATTAGCAAAAATTTAAAATTTATACTAGGGGAGATCCGTCCAATTGTGGACACGGGGTAATTCGGACAAATAATACAGTCTTTCTCTTTTGTCTTATTTTTCGGTAATTCTGTATGGTTGATTAAAAATGTTTATTTATAAGTTTTGAAAATTTGATCAATTCCTAGGGAACGTATTATTAGCTGTGAAAATATTTTTTAAATTTGAATTTGTCCAGTTTGTCGATCATTATTTTGAGCGTTTCAGAAGAATTAAATTAAGATACAGGTGTTTAGAGACACATTGGTAGAAAAGAAATCAGTGTATAATGTTTAACCGACATATTGAAGACACTGATAACTTCTTAAGTTACACTGACTTTAAGTGTACATTTGAATTTTTAAATACTAGTATTTTTTGATTAGACAACTTTCCTTTTCACATGTTTTATTTGAGAGCAATGTTGCATGAAGAGTATATGGCAAATACACATTATGTCCTTATCTAGACATATTGTGCAAGACTTCTTTTAAATGATTCTCATATACCATTTACTTTATTCGAACATTTACTTGTTTGAAAAGTCAATAAAGTACATTTCATAAAGCTTGATACTCTTGTTTACTCGCCAGTCTTCCCGTACAAATGTAGTTCGTAATATTACTAAACGGAAGTATTCAGTATCTGTATAAAAATACAGAATGATCAATGATCGATTTAAGAAGAAAAGTTGACTCCTGAAAGTTCAAGAGGTGGGATCCGTTCCAGAAGAAGTAACATCCTCGTTGACAGGTTATACCCGCGATGAGCCTACACTTGTAACTGGAGTTCTTTGATATCAATTCATTTACAAAGTCTCTGCTCAGTCATCCTTTTTTTTCTGACTAGCCAGCTGTAGATCTACACTACTCCAAATCCATTATTCTAAAGAATTTAATTTGTCATTTTTTTAGTTGTTTGCTATAGTAGGCTTTACAATTACCTAACTTCAGATTCAATAGAGCATGAAAGACAATTAAAATTTCAACATCAACATAACTGTTTTCATCCAGAGAACGATAGGATGCCACCAAGAGAGAACTTTTAAAAATGCACTTCCTGTCTTTCAAACTGAAGAAATCTCATGTTTAAATTTTGAAACATGCATTTCAATCTAATTAAAATTTATTTAAATGTTCCAAATCCGCTACTGCTTCTCAAACATCTAACATCCCATTCGGGGTCACATCAGAGCGACCTTTCGATTATGAATACATGTACTAGTAAACACAAAAACTTTGGCCATGTAGATTCAAGCCTCGGTAAACAATTCTAAATTAATTCACGGCTAAAATCATCATTATTGATACTGTCTTACGTTGAATTAAAGTAATTTTGGAATCATAAACCGTTTTCTTTGGCTAATCGAAGATTCACTCTTTACATGACCCCAAATATGATGTTGTTAGATGTTTGAGAAGCAGTAGCGGATTCGGAACATCTAATTTTTAAATTAGATTGCATCCATCTGTGACATCAGTTTGGAATGTTATTGGTTTTACTATTAAGTAAAGTATTACAAAAACAGAATGCCTGTTATTTTTTCTCTGATAACATTGGACAAAGATATGCATACTTAAATATCATCATTTCATGCACTTTTTTCGGTATATATTAGATGAAAGCATGCTAACCGCTTTTCAGTACTTTCAGTACTTTGATTTTTATTGGGTTTAATGGCAACAATTCTTGCGTGTTAGTACCATGCATTGGAAAGCCTCAGCTGCTTTGATTTGATGGAATTCATATTGCGATGTATAAAGTCAAATAGTTCACTTTGTTCAATCTTTAGTAAATATTAATGGGTATATGTTGGCTTTTAGAACAATTAAGATTGCAGCATCAATGATATACTGATAAATTAAAAAAAAATTGTCATCAGAGTGAAATCAATACAAAATGATATAAACTTATTTACACATTATGTAAATTGAAGTACTTGACTATCCACAATTGGAAAAGAAAAAAGAATCAGACTTACATTTTCCGCTTGGTTCTACAACATTACGAACTTGTTAGAAAAGCAGCATAGAAAAATATTCCATGAACAATCATTTCACTCGACATCAATGCAATTTTCTTCGACGTTCATGATCAACATGTTTTTATTATCATTAAAATTTACCAAAACAGTAAGCTGAATTACAGGAATCCACCGGATGTAGCTTATAAACCATATAAGTATTGCAATTCTTAACTTCTATTTCGATCTTATCGACACAATCACTAGCAAATCCAACTTTGCAGGCGTCGAGGGTACTCATACCATTCACAGGTGGGTGTTTGCCTTAGTTGAAAAAAAAGAAATATATAAGACTATTTTTAATGTATTTAAAATAACTATTTTACGACTTGAATTCAAGTCGAATTAATATATTTACCAACGGTTAGGTATAATAATGTAATGATAATATTGTAATCCAGCAGATAACAGAAAAGAAAAACTGACGTTAAGATTTAATGACCTTTGTTGCAGTTTTCTTTTTTTTTTTTAAGGGAAAAGTTCATTTTTATAGATAGGAACTGCCTAGAAAGAAACACACGGAGTGACAAATGTCATTGACTATCATGAATAAAATCAAAATTATCACGTGTACTAAAAAGGAAATCCTATCTCATTACCTTCTTTTGCAAACTACATATATGCCTATGTATCACATACTTAAAATACTTTAGACTGAGAAACTGCTGGCAGAAAGAAAATGTCTGGTAGTAATCGAATGCGGAAGAAATTGGGTTAATAAAAGCTCAACTCCTATAACCCGAATTAATTACTCATTTCACAAAGTTCTGAATTCGGTTGAACATATCCTCTGACGTTAAGCGAAACGTGCTTGAGAGTGTGAGGATGAGTTGGTGTGCGGAGGTGATATTAAAATTATAAAAGTTATTCTTTTTTTCATTGTGATCAAAAACTTTGCGAACTAACTCTATTTAAAAAAAAAACACACAAAATGAAAGAACTTTATTCGGTAACCAATATCCCCCCAATCAAACTTTGATGGAAGTATATTTGATTAAGTTCTTAAACAGGGGAGTATATGCTGACTTCAAAGCACTAATTATTCTCATAAGTAATGACGCCATATGTACGTAATGACGTCACAAACATGACGTAAATGTAAGTTTTTTTATGAATTTTACAGAAAAATGTAAAAATATTTTGTCGATATATTGAGTTAAAGTCACCAGCGCATGTGTGTTCAGGATCAATATTTTGATATAATGTGTAGAATGATAATATCAATGAAATATGTCAATATTGTTCCTGAACAAACTTGCTCTCTATTAATTTTAAAGCTAAAATTGTTGAAATTTTGTCCATTTTGTCTTTTTTTGAAAAAAGACATAAAATCGGACTAGTTTGTGGCGTCATAAAAACAAAAATTATGAATACACTGCTTTGACACTATATTATTTTCTCTTAATTTATATTTCTCATACAATTTACTGAATTCACAAAAGTATACTTAACTTTTATCAAATCAATTTCAAGAACAACATTAATGTTTAAGTAAAGTTCTAAATTTTATATCATTTCAATATCAAATTTTAAAAAGCTTACTTTTATCAATTTCATTCCAATATTTGGTTTATTGACTTAAGAGATTTGTATTGGGAAACTTACCATTTAACCAGAAGGGATAAAGCGTCCCACAGTTAGCCAATGATGGAGGAGACGTCGGCATTTGCGAATATTCTCCTCGGTACCATCCATAAGTTAGGTCGTAGTCACAGAGGGGAGCAGAATCCATGAAATACGAAGGCTTTCTTCTCGCCAAATCAGGGATCTCTTTATAAACCTTATCCGAACATGGGTCCTCTTGGTCTGGAAATAGATCTATTTTTTAAACGTGCAAAAATATCTGGAAATGGTGTAACAAATAAATAATAAATGATAACTCGCATAATTTTGAAACTTTCAAACGCAGAAGTAAGATTTCTCTCTTGCTTTTTCTTTTACTAATCACTTTTTAAACATTTAGAGTAAAAACATTACAAAAGAACTTGAAGATTTTTAAATTAATGATTTAAATGAATAAATACATGTATAATTATAATGTAAAAATTACTTACTACTTTTAATTACTATTGTGAAAAACAGAAAGAAATGAAACAAGAAAAAGACTTCCATCTTTGACTCTCAGAGAGGATAGCTTGCAATATTCAGTCATTCGATATTGATTTTATCCGTTGCCCCCCTGTTAACATTAATGAGCAATAGACCTCTTGCATGTTACCTATAGTGTATATATTAGTAATGAGGAAACAAATATGAGATCCAGGTCATACAAATGAAAGCTTTCCTTCTGAAAAATTTAAAAAAAAAAATATTTCCGTATATCTATTTACAAGATACAGGTTGGAAAATCACCATTTTGACAGCATAGGGTATTTTTTTCTTTAGTCCGGGAATCATTAAAAATAATCATTATTCAAAATTTTGAAAGCAATATTTTACATGTATCTATAGCTAGAGACTCGAGTCTTTTTTTCAAATTCATGAAATTCTAGATAAAACATTCAATATACATGTACATTTAGTATTTTGTGAAAACTTGAAATATATCCATATTATGTAGCACTAATTATAGCCATGTCAACTTGCAGTGCTGATCCTGCTGGATGATATGAATACGCAAGGCAGATATGGGTTTTTTCTTTAGCCCTTTGAGATTAAACAGCATTTGTGATACATGTAATACATATATAATGGCAATATTCTGTTATATACATGTAGTTAAATAAGCATTTAATTTTTTTCAACTGATATGTACATTGACGTCGTAATAGTATTTTTTACGTTATGATAAAATGAAGCTCTTGAAGAAAGGGAAGTAAAAATGTTATAAAAAAGAAAAAGTATTATATACATACACATGCTTTAGAAATTTAAAACATAAAAATTTGAGAATCTCTCAATTATTTTCAATATTTTTTTGTATTAATTATTTTTATACGTCATAATTTGTAGTCTTCCATATCAACAACAAAATTCGTTAATTATTGACATTTTGTGATGTTTCTTACTTATAATGTATGCTATATGATTAATCATCGTATATTCTAATTTCAACTAAAATCCTATTGTTGTATTTGTATAATTGGCATTTCCTTTATAATTCTTAAGTAAATGCACCTGATTTGAGACAACCCATAAAATTCGTGAACGGAAGATTTTCTCAAAAATGCATGTATGTACACTTAAGTCAATGTAAGTTATATAAATATGAAATTAAATTAAAAAGTTTTTTTTTCAAAAAATAAAAGCAAAGTCAACTTTCTAAAGTAAGAAAATTGCGCAACGTGAGGGAATTAATTATTGATTCAATTAAACCGTTTTTGTGTGCAGGGTTTTCAAGTTTGGGTGCCTCAGTTTTTTTCACCTCACGGATCCTAACAATTTTTTTTTAAATAAATATATAAATAATAAATATATAATATATATAAATAAAAGAAATATGTCTTAAGGGGCCGACTATAGTTTTATTGTGTGAAAACTACAATAGCGAAACTCTTCATTTTTGTACCACATATAACTTACATTAACTTCAGTGTACATACAAAGTTTGGGGGATATCTACCGTCTAAGTATTTTTGAGGGACCGTCTCAAAATACAGGTACATTTACTATAGAATTATATAGGAAAATGCCAATTTTTAGCACTTTAAAGCAAATTATACAAATACTACAATAGACATTTTGTTCAAACTACAATATTTGATGAGTAAAAACTATATTATACAATATATGTAAGAAACGCAAAATTCTACCGTCTTGTTACCAGTGGGAGCATCTCAAAATGCAAAAATTTAGCAAATTTTACATTTTTATAGAGTATTACAAAAAATGACGTACGCAATGGATTCACATGAAAACATAATAAAAATATTGGAGATATTCTCAAATTTCTCTGTTTTAAATTTCAAGAGCGTATGTTTATTACTTTTTTTTGATAATATTTTATTACCCCTTTCTTTAAGTGCTACAGATATCATAACGTCAAAAACATACTACAACGACGTCAACCTACCTATCAGTTGCAAAATCGGTTAAAAATCAGTTATATCAAATTGTAATTACTTTTTATACCTATAATTTCTTACTTTTGTTTAATTTTAATAATTCTGCGAAAAAAATTGCATTAAAACGGTAAATACGCTTCATTTTACTATGATGCGCGAAGTATTGCGCAATGGAAACTATAGTCGGCCCCCTTAAATAAAAAATTCTAGTGCATTTGTGAAATATAAAACTTGTTTTAATAAGTACATAAAATGCCTTGTAAAGTTCATACATATGTACATATTTCATCCTGAGTCCATATACTTGAAATTTAAAATAATAATATGCGAATCATGTTCAAAGCAGCAGCACTTAAAAAAAATTCCAAGATGCGTAGAAAAATTATTACTTCATTTTTTTTTTAATTAGATTGCCCTTGAAATAGATTATTAATATTGCTCACGTTATTGATAAAACAGGAAGCCAAACTGAATTTAGTATACAGAGGTCCGTAAACTATTTTATTTCAAATAGTATTAAAACAATGCAAACATTTTACAGTTTTACAAAAATAAATTTTGGTTTAAATATCCTTACATATCTATTTTTGCACTTCCAAAATCCTCTGTAACGCGCTGCCCAGCAGGAGAATTGCATAATATGTTATCATGACACTGAAACTGACCAGTGTGCCAATCCCTATCTAATGCCTTAGAGTTTAATTCTGGGAGTGGATCACAGATTTGATGAAGAACATTTTGTTTTAAAAAAAAAAGACATTGGTTTTATTAAATGCTTATGATTTCATACATTTATCTATATTTTAATTTTTTTGTTTGCCTATCCTTTCATTTATTGATTTTTTGATTTGTTTTAATCATAGGACTTTATATATGTCTGTTTATTCAATAAGCCAAAACTAAAAATCATTAAAAAATACCGGAAAAAATCTTTCAATTAAGCAATTACTACAATTCCTCATTTCAACACTATTCTATCTATGTATTCTTTTTTTTCATTAACTACATTTTAGGAAAATCGCAATCATACATTATTTGAATGTTTTAAGAGCATTTTGAAAATAACAGGACCAATGAAAAATGACGTTTTAAAAAAAGAAAACACATTAAATTGAATGTTCTAAAATCAATCCTCACAACATACTCTAAAAGTTACTAAATGAATTAATTTGTGCCGCAATTACATAAATGTTTCAGAAACATTTTGAAAATGTTTCCAAAAAACGTTTCAAAAACTATAATTAGAATGTTTCAATTGTAGTAAAAATAATTATTTTAGTTAATGTTTTAAATAAACATTTTCAGTGCCTAGGCCGAAAAATATCCGGAATTAAATGTTTTTAACTAACAAAGATATTTATAAAGAATTTTTTAAAAACATTTTTAAAATGTTCCTTACAAATGTTTCAGAAAATTTTTATGCAATGTTTCC